TCTCATTGGTGAAAACTTTTATATCAAAAATGGCTTACAACAAGGGGAGAATTTGTGTCAGAAAGTCTTCTGACTAATAACAATATTGCAGTTTGAACACAAATAGTCACTGAGGATAGAATATAGAGTAAACAGCAGCACAGCAACTAAAATACATAAGTATATACTAAAACAGCTGATAGCATTGACAGCATGCTCTGATCCGCTCTTCAAATTCCAAACATCCTTTGCTATTCACCTCCAGTGGGATTTGCGCAAGAAAAAAATCATATTTTGTGCTATATTTTTTCACATTTTTAGTAAACATTAACACAACTAAGCACCCCAGTCAAGGTGGCTAGTAAAATATATTTACCTCACCCCTTCTTGGTTTGGTAAATTTCTATCACTAACAGCTTCCAATTTGGTGAATAGTTGTTCACTACATGCAGCAGCCACAAAGTAGATACCAGGTACTTAAATATGAGCTTGTCTCATTTAGTTTCGGTACTGCATCAGTAGTTTAGTTTCTTTATTTCATAGACAGGAGTGTTTTACCAGGAACTAAAACACTCAAAGAATCAATATGACCACTACATCCCCAAACTGAGTGGCTTATTTTTCATATATAATATGAGGGGTAATATTGAGGAAAGTCACAATTTCAGCCTTTTCTGACTTTGCTGAATAAATGCATGGTTTTCAACTTTTTAAACCAACTATACTAATAAATTGTCCATGAAATAAAAAGAAAATTAAACATCAACTCAAAGATATTAATTTTACTCCCTCATAAAGTTCACATGTTCTAACCACTGTGTAATATCCTCTACATGTAATGGCAATTCTTTTTATAAACCCTAAGGAATTACCATGAGGCCTTTATTGGAGGGCTTCCATGTAGTGGAGCTTATCTTCAGAATTCTACAGAAATCTCTTTAACTTAATGATTCTAATTTCTAGTCACCATTTCTTATGATACTTACTGGATTAGAGATAATACAAATAATTGCCATGGGACAAAATCTATATCAAAGTAAACAAATCAAAAGCATAAGCATTAAATTTTGTCACCTGCTAAAAAACTCTTGAAAGTTTAAAAACATTGTATACTGTTACTTCCCCATGATTTGAATTCTTCTAGCTCAACCTCTGCACTAGCTCAAACCAAATCAATTTACCCAGGATTACCCTCATTTATTTCCACTGTAATTTTACCCTTGCTAACTTGAAGCAGTTTTTTTCTCTTTGGGTCATTTTCTACTTTATCTTATTATTCAAATGCCAAAAGTAAACTTACTTTGCATTTTTTGGCACTAAATTAAAATGTAACAGACTAGTCAGCTTTCATTGATGGTAGATGCATCATATTTATGATACACTTTGCTAATTACTGGTACTACCTTTCATCAAATATGTTTCATTTTCTCTCTACTTCCCTACACTGTGATTGACTTTGCCTAACTAAAATGTACTTTTTCAAGAAAGGAAAAACAGTTACCAACATTTTTCCCAATTTACAGTAATTTTTTTCTAGTTCTTTAAGACTCAAACTCTCACTAACTTGACCTTTCTCAATTCTCCAGAAGGTTAAAGTTCTTGCAAGTCTACTACAAAAGTAAGAAGTGCAAATTTTCCTTACTTGGCACAAGCCTCAGCGAGAGTCTGTACAATGGAAGCATTTGTATTGAAAAGGTCATCACGAGTCATTCCTACCCAGGACATAAACAAAATTTATGAATAAGCAAACTCTGTCAGAGGGTAGGGAGAGTCAAGACTGATCAGAAGCCAAGTGGCTCATCCTGCTTGAGCTTAACTACTTCGCCTGATAGATACACCCCTTCTTCCCCCATATTTCCCAAGCATCTCCTTGGAGTTTGACCCATGACAGATTCCACTGGGAAACTGGGACTGTTCATAGAAAACATGGCAAACAGTTTTCTCCCACATGTCCCATTCCTACTGATGACAATATTAGCATTTGGGTTACTGCATGCAAGTATCTCTATGGACACTAGCAAGCTTCTAATCTAGGCATCCCTCTCAATAAGCTGTTGGTAACAATTTGAATATACAGTGATGGGCTGAAATGTCATATACACTAATAACAGATAATATGCTTTAACACGAAAATAAAAATGAAAGTTTCTGCTTATTGGCACACTTGTGATTAAAATGAACTTCAATTTAGGGCATTTGGCCCTTGATTAGTAACACATTAAACATAAGTAAAACAAACAAAGGTTAGACTGAAACTCTTTACCTGGCTTTCTAGGGACTCCTGCAGGGATAACAACAGCTGCACAGCCTTCCAAGGCAGCCTGTAGATCATCTGGACCCTGATGACTGGTTACCTTTAAATAAAAACATTAAGAGAAGGGCTTTTAACATTCACTGACAACATCAAATAAGTTCAGTGTTGTTGTTGCTGCTCGGTGAAAGAGAACTGGTTCACACTTACTTTTGCAGGGGTATTAATGTGACTAATGTCTGCTACAACACCTTAAATGAACAAAGACAAAAATGTACAAAGTTAACACTAATAAATGTTATCTGGCCTAATGTTCATGATTTTTCCATGCAACTCTCTTTACGTGGACTGAATGTTGCAAATAAAAAAATGGTATACAACAGAGTTTACTTTCCAGCTGATTGCATCATAAGCACATAATGGACCCTGATTGTGTACAATATCATAATGCACTACGAGCTGGCTTAATAGCATTTGGCTGACTGGAACTTTGGCTCATAGAAAGTGCTCTTTGAAATTCGCTACCAAGTTACTGCTTGGGGTTTTCAAGAAGGACTGCTGAAATGGTGACAACTGGTAAAACTTGCAGTGTAAAGGAATGTTGCTAAGTCTCCACTGCTGGAAAATGTTGCCAGATGAAAAAGGGGCAATCAGGGTTAATTTTGGCCCATGGCTGTCCAGTAGAGCATGACTGTAGAAGGCACCAAGCCCGTTCCTTGAGGTGGCATCTTTGAGTCACCTCACTTGCAATTTCCGCGGGCAGCTTCACTTCTTTGTAGTTCTATCAATACTCATATCTACACGTGTATAACTGATGATGACCGAGAATCTTGATGTACTTTTGACTAACTAATTAACTATTTCTTGCTTATTAATTACATCGTCACACTTCAATATAACTTACCTGGTGTGTTTACAATATCGTACAAAGCCAAATGGCTTATAGCCGGATGCTGTTTCATCAACAGTGACATAGGCTGGCCAATCCCTCCAGCAGCACCAAGAACAGCTACCTTTTGCTGGTGCTACAAATCAAAGACGAGTTTTAAACGAGACAGATTTCCCCTTGAGGAGAGACCTTAAGAGCTCATGGGAGGAACACACAAACTTCATGTAGGACTTGTACTATTTCTGATCGTAAACAACGCTTAAGTGAACTAGTTACCTGAGCAGCCACAGAAAAGTTTCTTATGGCCTTCCTGGCTCCTTTCATACGAAGTGCTGTTCTCGAGAACATCGTGAAGTGGTCACAGAATTGTGTTAACCTTCCCCGGCTCTATTCGTCGTATCCTGAGGAGCACGGAGGCGAGAATAATTTTGCGCATGCCCTCGGTTGCAAGCCCCTCACAAATTCAAAAGAATGCCACAGGCATCCCATAACTTTGTCACACTCTCGTGCGGCAGTAGTTTTCGCCCGACACAAAACGTTTGAGTCGCAACCACCGTTTATTGATCAGCAAGCTGGAGTCTTACGGAGTAGAGCTACTATGTACATCATGAATGCGTATTGAGCATGAAATTCCTTGTCTAAAAGTTTCGGAGTCCCGCAAAGGTCTTCCAATTAATCTTGACTAACGTCCAATTCTAGAGTCTACTCGTGACACACTTGTGCATTGTCAGCTAGGAATCATTAGGGAATAGGTAACTCTATAACCTACGGACTAGCTTTCGGTTTGAGTCACTGGCTATTGGCAAACAGTTTCAACATTCATACGCAAGGCGGGATGTTTCTGAAGCTGACGTTTCGAGCGTCAGCTCTTTGTCATAGCGAATATAGGTGTGTTGTGTGGTATACACACAGAGATGGAGGCTACACTCTGTGTGGGGACATTCTAACGTGAAGAACACTCACCACTGATCACTTTGCAACTTTGGGGTATATTTAAGAGTAAACTTTGCTGTTGTAAGACCCACAAGTTTGCAAAGCTCCCTCAAGGAAAAAAATTCAAGTGATGATAAACGTGAAGAGGAAAGAAAAACCTTACATCCAATTAAAAAAAAAAAATTCTAAAAACGCGCTTTAGCGAGTAAAAAGTATATAACAGAGAGGATGTAAAGAAATTGATGAACTCGTAAAGGGGGATGGGTTTGGGCAACGAAAAAAAAATACTATTTCTTCCTCCACTCTTCACTGGCTTTTCAGCTCCACACTTGCCTCTATCTTACCAATCCATTTGGCGGATACGATGATCGATTAGCACTTGAACGCCAAAAGAATGACTACTACGCAAGCCAAACCACCTAAAAATGGTTCAGGGGAACTTTCTAAATCTAATTTGAAGAGCATCTTATAACCAACGTGCGTTCATCGAATAGCTGAAGGGTAAGCGAGGAAGCGTTTTCGTTAATTTCTTCGATCAATGACAAGTCAAGAAGGAACAATTAAAGTACGAAAAATATTTGGTTAAGTTTGGCTTGCCTTATCAACCATCAACACATTATGTTTAGTGTTGGAACGTCATTTGGAGTGTCTGTTTTACACATTCTTATGATATCACAAGTTTGGGCCACGCTCATCGTAATGTTTTCACTGATGTGGAAACCGTAACACGTTCCAAAAGTATGAGCCACTTAGCTTGTGTGCAGATGACACCTTTTGGACAGTGAGGCATTGCAAGATTTGTCCGCTCAGCAAGAGTGAAAATGTAGTGTAAAAACACTCTCAAAACAAAAGTGTGACAAAATGGCTTGTCGGAGACTGGGCCCGGACGTCGTGCATGTCGCTTTTGAGGAAGTCTTTTCTCCTTAGAAAGGAAAAGGTGTGACGGAATAAATAAACAGTTGTATTTATTGAAAGAAAAGCCTGTGATTGTGACTTTGGGATACTAAACTTCTATTGCCACGGAGGCATTCCCGAAAAGCTTAGACCTTCGCTAGAGGTCAGTACATTTGGGTGAACGATACCAGCCAATGAAACAAATAAAAATCGCACTGCAAACATTACAAACTGTCAAGACCATAAGCACCAAAGGGATAAAAGATTCAAACGGTCTGACAGTTTTTTCTCTTCGGTTTTTTTTTTTTTTTTTGACTAATATTCGGGTTCAGTAACGTCTGTGACTTTAGAACCAAACATCTTTTCTTCCCAACGGGACAGCTGTTCAATAAATCCTCGCGTTGGCTGCATATTTTCTCTGCATTTCTTCAGATGGTTGTAAGCATCCTAAAGGTAAAAATTAGAGTACATTTTTAGCTTGCTGATTACGTGAACAATAAATATAGTTCACCAAATTGGTGCACCTAACTCTGACAATGATGGCTTGTCATAGAAATAGCCTAATTTTTTTGTAAACTTATCTTGAACGCGTGGATTTCTACACGATATCTATTGCAGCACTCAACTGCTTGTTATACACGGTCCAATGCTTCTGTTCGTGAGCGTATATAGACCTCTTTCATAATGGCAAGCATGATTAATTTTTTTTCAGTTTTTAGTGCACGCGGATTTGGCTTCCTGCCCTAAATGGGGCAGCTGACCGTTAATCTCCAGGTCGTTGAAAACTAACCCGAGACAAACCCTTTCTCGTCCCTGTCTCGCCCAAGCATCTTCACCATCCAACTCCTTCTTACCCATGGCTACTTCCGTGACTAGAGGAAAAACAGACTGCCTCCAGTCTAACCCTTTTTACGAAATACTGCAGACGAATGATGAACAATTGCGCTCATTTTTGCTTGTGTCTCCTTGTCACACCGCCCCTTTGAATGCGATCTCAGGTAACCTTAATGATACCTAATGACATGATAGCTGTGTTCTGTGTTCCTTCACTACTCACCTTTAAGGAAACTTTTTTATTCCACATGTAATAGGCTATTGCTACCGTGGCACTTCGACTTATGCCTAGGGTTGAAGTTAGTAGAACAGTTCTTCCGTCTTTGTTGTCATGGTCATCTAAACAAAATAACAAGATAAGGAGTACGTCCCTTATAGGGGGATAAGCATTGCCGCCGTATTCTACAAATTGGAATTACCCTTGAACTTTTGCAATGAATATGACATCCCGTTCTAGAGGTAAAAGTTATAGTGCAACTGTTTCAAATTTGCTGTTTGTGAAATGGCTTATTTCTTATTTCCTTGCTGTAACCGCAGCTGTTATTTCTAATGATATGTGCCATAACATTCCCGTTTTACTCCGTGATCATGTAGCGCTGAATAGCTATCTAACCCGTTCTACGAGACGTTCCTTGTCTCAAAATCACAATCCGCTGGGAGACACATAGCCAGACGGATATTTTACTGATACCCATAAGGGGATTGCGTATCCGGCAAGTTCAAAGCTGTGTTAAGTTACTTCCGACCATAAGTCAGTAACATGCTGTAAGAAATACTGTATTACATCCTATCTCAAGTTCTTACCAATGAAACTCACGACGTCTGTCAATTGGGAATAAATATCCTCTGTGCCACTGTCATTAACTGGTAAAGTAAGAATATGTTTGATCCTCTTCTCATCTTTGCCAAGTGTTGTTCTTTCAGGATCAAAACTACAGCCAAGAATGCCAGAAAAGAACAACAAAACAGATAAAGAAAACCGCAAATGTCAATTCTCAAAACTGTACCAAAAACAATTCGAATTTTGCCAACGATTTTTTTAATCTCAAGTTGAAACTTTGTTATGAAGGGCTTAAGGTAACGCTAAGTAATAGATGACCCACATCCCTTGATAATATTCATTGTCACTGTAGTGTCATTGAAATAAGATTTCTCATCAAGGTTGTTTTAGTGCTATTTCATGAAATCAGAAACTGAGCGAAAGTTATAGTAAGAATGGACTGTGACAATGACTTCCGCTATGGGGTGGGGTTGGGAAATATGCTACTTTAAGGAGAGAGGAGTAATTCTCGATAAAACATTGAATTAAGACAAATTTTCAATAAACTCTTGAATGGAGATGGCCAGGAAATTTGACTTGCTTGAATAAATGTAATGGCGTATGAATAAGGTGGTGTAGTTCAGTGAGTTTTCGAATTATTGTTGTGTTGTAAGAGCTTGCAGTAATACCGAACAAGGTCTCCCCAATGGTAGGAGAGTTTTGGCAAGAATTCACGTGGTTGAACAAGTTCAGTACCTTTTGGGTAAACAGTTTAATAAACTTACATGCGATAAAAGAGTGCTCAATTGAATATTTATTTCCGAAGTTTAAATACTCATTATCCGCTTTAATACCAAATCTGAACAGTTCTTTCTTAATTTCTATCGTTCTATGAGTGAACTTAAATTGAAAATCTTTCAGTTTAGTTTCCTAACAAACGTTTTTTTATTGATTTAAAGATCTTAGTCCATTTGTGTTTCTTCAACGAGAGTTTCCACTCCCACGTTTAGGGCCCGTTTGTTCCTCGGAGTGAATCTTGTCGTTAAGCAAATAAAAGAAGTCCCTTGAATTAGCCTTGCAGAGGTTAATTTAGATCGATTCGTTCAGGGAAAAGATATTATCATCTCGGGTAAAGAATGATTTGTTGATGGTTTCGGAGCATCATTTAATACAAGCAGATACTCCTGCTTCTATAAAATGATGTTCAGTGATTTCTGCCAGATTCCCTTTCACTTAACCTGCAGATCGAGCGGAACTGAGCCTTTCATACTTTTCAAGGCGGAGGTACAAAACTTAAACAGTAGCAAGTTTTTTAATTGAATTAGCGATTGGGTGAAATTCAAACGATCTGTGACAGAACCAAGGCAAAGACAGTGTTTAGAGCTGCCAACAAAGGGGTCTGGTGGTCCTCGTCGGTCAAAACTATTTTTAGTTGTCGTTGCAGAAAGATATATTTCACCCATAATAAAACCGAATCCCTATTGAATGTAGTTTATCATCTTACCCAGGATCCCAAATTTATTTATAATTCTGATGAATGCTTCAAATAAGGTCTGCTAATGATGATGCTTATGAATATCTTGAAAATTGTATTGCAATAGAGGCCAGCGTCGTTCAATTTTGGTGAATACTGTCCAATTAGGTTAAATGATAAGTCTTTGAATTACCACGATCATTTTTTCCCAACTCTAGCAATACATTTACATATATTTTGATTCCTATCATGCTCAATGAACATTCGTGTCCAAGCAGGAAGTGGCATCGGCAAGGGCTCTCAGTTCTAAAACGTCACGCCCAAACACATCCGTCAAAAATACTCTACCTTAATTAGAAAGAGCGCTGTAATTTGTTTCCAAGCTCGCCTCTGTCTATGAGTTTTTGTCCTCTTGCCTTTTTTACTTGGTTGCCACAACACATCCGTCAAAAGTACTCTCTCTTAATTAGAAAGAGCGCTGCAATTTTTTTGTAAGTTCGCTTGAGTCGGTGAGTTTTTGTCCTCTTGCCTTTTTTTTCTGCGTTGCATTAAAATTGAAGCCGTGATCATTAGACGAACAAAAACGCCAGATAACGCCCCGTCAATTTACTTAATTTGAAGTAATATATCAAACACGAGGAAGAATGTTTCATCCGATATCTAAACACCGAGAAGTGGTTGAAAAAACGAGGTGCAGCCTAGTTTTTTTTAACCAACTTCAAGGTGTTTGGATATCGGACGAAACACCCTTTCGAATGTTTGATATAGCTTCCCAAACCATTGATAATTCTTGGAGAAAATCAAAGCAAAAGTTCACCAAATTTTATGATGATTAATATCACATATCCAAACCTCCTTAACGGTTGTAATTCCTTTGTTTTCTCAGCATGAATTATTAATGAGTTTGAGAATAATAAATGACAAATTATAGAAACTCCGGGCCTGTTATTTTTCTCTGACTTCGATGAATAAAGTTATCGAAATTCTTAATAAACTGTGTGTCTTCTCAAAACAATTTTCTCGGACCTGAAAAAGTAACTCACTACCTGCTGAAAGTCACACTCTGCCCATGATACTTGGATGATACCCTGAAATTCGTTTTTAACTAAGAACAGCGAAACTACGCCGAAGAAAAAAATAACAAAACATCCTGATTCTTTCTCTGTATTTTTCCCAGTCTTTTATGCGAAAAAATTGGTTAATTAGCATGAAAAATAACGGCCTTATAACCCATTGATGTTGTGTGTTACCTCTACTGAAATGAGAACAGTGTAAGTTAGTTACAGAAAGATACTCGCGCTTCATCATTACTGAGAACAGCGTTAATAAACGTTTAAAGCAGAGCAATTTAACCAGATTCAAGAAGAAAGCTGGGGCGTTCTTGTTGTAACTATAAATTCGAAAAATCTAGACCATTAGTTAAATTTGGATTCTTTTTGGAATTTTTTTAACTTGTGTTAAATGACTTGTCAAGCTTTTTTAACATTGTGTACAGTCTGCAAAGCAAGTCGAGAATAATGACGGAAAACGGAGAGAGCAAACGATATCATCTTGAAAACTGTATTGTAATGGAGGAGAGCTAACGATATTATGAAAAACATAGACATACAGAACTTTGCTATCCATTTAGACGTGTCACTGAATGAAGTTAATGGTTGGCCTTTTAAAAATTGCAATTTGAAGGATTTTTCTAAAGTGTTAAGGGTGATGAGTGAGATATAACTTAATATCTTCCCCAGAGTCTGCTCTACTTACACTGAATGTCGAGCTATCAGACGAAACCACAAAAGTATCTTGATAACAATATTTTCGTCATCAAAACGAAAATGTTACTGCATCGATTCGTTCCTCAGTCTTGACCTCATGAAGGAAAACCTCGAGAGATAAGTGGCCACTTGAAATCGTACCAAGATTTTAAAATCATACACATCAATTTTTTCTACTCATGATAGTCTAAACGAGCCTTCATTTTTCGCCAGAGAAGTAGGAAACTGAAGAAAAATATACCTATTTCTTTATTAGCTTGAACAGCTGGAACTGTTTATATGAAAAATTAGAGGTGGACCATTTTGGAGGCGTATCCTATTTTCCTATCACTTCATACCCCCTGAGTGGTTTGACGCTCTCTCTTGATGGAAGTCAAGGATGCATCAAAGCATGACTTAAATGACCAGTTCACAAAGGAAATGATTCCTTGATAACATGATCTGTAGTAAGGCAACAAACAACAAAATAACGGGGTCTACTGGTGAGATGTGAGACGTTAAATCACACTGATATATTAAGAAGCTTTTGAATTGGTGATGATTCATTGAGATCTCGAGTGAAATTTTGGTAATTAAGAGGACATAGTATTGAGTGGCTTTCTTTTAACGAGACAAGTGTCAAATTTTGCTCCTTTTCTCTTCATCACAGAATTTGACAGGATGCTGAGCTTCAAGCTACTCTGCTATATCAATGTTCTACAGATTTTGCTCATGAAAGCTTACAGTTGGTATTTTTTGTTCACATTATTTACATTTGTAGTTTGGTTGGCTTGATAGGATTATTCAAACTAAAAGATATTCTCTGAAAACTGTTTTATCATTCAATGAACAAAAGTCATTTACATGTCACTGTTTTACTTTGCAGCCATCAGAAAGGTCACGAGCATGTACACTGTATTTCTACAAACGTAAAACATACGTTACATGGAACAATCCAGTCCATTTTAAGCACCTTTAAACAAACCAATCAAAATGATGAGGTGCCTAGCCCGCCCTATGTAAGTTAAAAAAAAACCTCATAAATTTATAAGTAATAAATCATTTGGAGACTAAGCTAATTCCTCTTACTGTAGCTTTGGGATAATAATGCAGAGTTGATGAAAATAATGAGAGATTATTCTAAATCTGAATCACTTGTACAGCTCTCATTTAAAACCACATTAATTTTATGCTTGTTGTGGGCCATTGCATCATATGTATACTTACATTGTATCAGTTTCTTTTGCCACAATCACATTTGCCTTCACTTTGAGATCCTTGATAATTTTTTTGTCTTGGGATTGTTGGAATGTTGATAGATATAAAAAGCCTGGTATAACCTCCACTGGATATGTATCAATCACATCCAGTTCCTAAAAATAGTACAGAATATAGTGTTAGCAAGAAACTTAAGTTTCTTTATCCTCAATCTAATATACCTGTTAAAATTTTTAATAATCCTTCCCACAAACTTTCCACAAACTTTCCTACCCACATGCTCTTGATCTACAGTTCCATCATTACTTTCTAGAAAACCCAAAGTAACAATTATAATAATGATTGCGTAGTCTGATCATCCAAATGATATCAGTCCTAAAAAGGATTTTTGGCGAAAGTGCCTAATGAGTCCCAACAAACTGAGTTGTGTGCATAGGCAGCTGTTTGCAAAGTGATTAGAGATGAAGCGTGCAAGTGAAGTAAACTGCCTATAATGAAATTATGGGGGATTTCTATTTCCCCTCTCAAACCCCTTATGCCTTTGCTTTCCACTTTCTGTCCATGACAATGTGGCTTATACTTTAAAGCTCACACAAAACCAGCGGCTATACAAGCCGCTACTCCCTGTGTGTCTTGTTCAATTTGTTGAAATGATGACTATTAACTTAAGTTACTCAGTTTAAGCTTTAATCCATAAGGAACATTGGATCACTAGCGAATGATCAAGGCCAAAATCAATATGTGACATGTAAATTTTAAAGAAAAGTGAGCATGATTCATGACTTAATGAACCAGCATGAGTCCTGATTTGCCTCCCAAAGTATATGTTACCCATGAATTTTTTCTTCCATTTAGTGAAAACCTCAATATTTTCTTGAAACCTTATACACAAGAGGAGTGATTGAAGTTTTCCCTCTTAAATTCTTGACACCTGAAATGGTGTTTAAAGCATACCTGATGAGTGAATTTTTCTAAATATGTGCATGACTGGGATCAGGACTCCCCTTTGCTATCCACATATGTAAAGAGAAAAGTACTTGACTCTATTCTTCTGAAAACATTTGACACTTCTGGTTTAAATTCTCCACCCAGCCAGGCAAAGTTCAAATTCCCCAACCCCCTACACAGATACAGTCAAATGCCTGTGAGTTACCAAGGCGGCAGGGGGGGGGGGGAGCAGATATTGAAGTTTCTACTTGATCAGCACATAATGTCATGAATGAGTGCTCTGTGAGGTGCCAATTCTGTTTAGAGAAGTCTGTTCTAAGTAAGTAAACCAGCTTTCCATGGTCAGTTCCCAGGAGTAGCTTGTTGCTTTGTGTTTAATTCAAACTTTTTAGTAGGTTAGTATTTGCTAAATTGAATAAAGGTGTTGTTGTAGTTGTCCTTGGAAAGTGACAGACAGGGCACTTCTACTATGCATAAACTCTCCTAATGCTGTGATACACTTGTCTATGAGTTCCAGTTTTCTATAATGTTAGGTTACCAAATGACTATATAAAGTAAAGAAGTACTAGATATATGTAGCATTTTAGCAGTGACCCATCATCTACTATTTTGTAGATCAAACTGTAACTTACAAAGCTGGAGAAAAACTACTCAGGGCAACAACAAGAAGCAACAGCAACTTCAACTCACATCTAACACTTATGGACAGAAATCTGTTGTGTTGATTGCAAATACCAATTGACCCCAAACTTTAAGTACTGATTATGTAAATTGTTAACATGTGAAGAGTTTATTGTGATCACCTTTCATCACATAATGTTATGTAAGTAGCAGTATAAATATATTCAGTTGTCCATGTTATCTAGGTTAGGTTAAGTTAAGTAGGTTAGTAGTTGCTTATTTAGTGATTAAAGTATTTTCACCTTCTTTTAAAATGTTGTTCTTTACTTAAACACAATAGAATCAAACCTAGGTCAGTGGGGAGGGAGCCCAGAATTTTCATCAGTTCGTACTACACCTTCACTGTCTCAGGATCAGTAATTGATACACACACACAACCCCATTGAACTGCATAAGTATATTCTGATGTAAGAATTTAAGAGGGGTACTTCTTCTAGCCAAGGTAGATGGAAGAAATTGTTTCTTAAGTGGCTGTAAAGTCATTAATCAAACTTACCCTTGCCATGTATATGATCTTCTGTGTTCGTAAGAATGGGTACAGTGCTGAAAAGTCTTCATATCCACCTAAAGAAAATGTATGAAATAATTAAAGATTTGTGGAAATGTTTGAAATCAGATTTTAATCAGTGTTTTATCATAATGATATTTGTCCTTACTGATAGCCTTTGAACAATTATACATGTGTAACACAGTATCTTGAATTTTTATAAAAGATGAAGAAGACTTTAAAATGAAGTAAATGGTACTCTGGCAATCAAACTTTTTTGAGAAAATATTCTTTACTCAGAAATGAATAATACATATTGTTCTGTGAATAACAACATAAGTAAAATTATAACTAATTATACACGAACATAACAGATATCAGTGACAATTAAAACCATTATTCATATCCACCTATTCGATGGTTTAACATATAATTAGCACAGATAGTTTGAAAGTTTCATGGTATTTTCCAAGCCCTGAAGAGGCAAGAGAAAAATAAGGGCAATGAGTGAAACATTGTGAAGTATTATACCTTAAACCATCAGATAAGGGATTTTTTCTTTCAATTTTTAGTGTTTTTAATTAATTAAAGTTTGCAAAATACATCCTACAGCCCTATTTGAGCATCAAATCAATTGCACGAGGAATATGCAAAAGACAAAAAAAACACAAGTGAAACCATTAAAGTGTTCATTGTGACCACTTTCATTTCCTAAAAAAATAAAAAAAAAATCAAAGTTTGGATTGATCAGTGCTGCCATCTTGTTGCTCTTTCTTCTGTGTACTACAATGAAATACTGTAGCATATTTTTATGCATTGCTATGACTTTATTTGATAAAATGACATAAGAATTAAATACAGCAAATTAATGACTACCTTTAATAACTTTGACAGGATTCTTGCTTCCCATATCCCACATTAGCTTGGCACATGACAGTGCTGTGCTGTCTGACACATAACATAACACATACGATGAAAAACACTGATTCAAGATCAACAACTTGAATCTCAAGTAAAGTTAGACTTGCTTAATCTAAAAGGGATCAGAAAAGCTACTGACAAAAAGCCTTGCAAGTCAAATGAAAAACAATAAGGTCAAAAAACTCACTTTTGTCTTTGAGGGAACTGGTGTTACTGTCATAAATAACCACATGTTCCTTGGTCTGCAGTTCAGCCTCATGAGGAACTAGGAAAGCACCGATGTCATTCTAGATTGTGGTGAAAAGTACAGAGAATACACCTCACAGTAAAATAGTGATATGGGTAAGCAAATGCTAAATGCATATTTTCATTTTTGTCCACCAGTTTATTGTTTTAAAACATATTTACAACTAAGCCTACTGTATGAGGAAATGAAAAATATGGTATTATAAAACTCAAAATGAAAACATTATATCATCATCTTACATGTAGGAAATAAATGTCCAGGATGAATGCTAGCAATCATGCATTTCCAACTGTAAACTGCCTCAATAATGTAGCAACCACCTACAGTAAGTTTAGTTCCTGTGGCTTTTGCAGTTTGACCTCAATCCATTAGAAAGATTTTGAACAACCCTGCACCTTTCTAGCCTAATGTTCCTGTTTTCTCTCTCTTTGAAAACTGTGTGATATCTATATCAGAAACATTCACTAATCCAAATGAAACCATTGCACTGAAAAGATCCAAAACACAGTGGATGCCACCCCACCCCAACTCCATCCCCAAATTTGATACCCGGTTATAATAGTCCATTTCACAGTTGAGTGCTTGGTTGCCAAGCCTTTTTAACAGGAGTGAGGCTAAGGGTGACTTTGTTATGATACAAACCTCATTGCTTTGCAAAGTTAATTACCTTGTTATTATGTAAACCTGATACTGGTCTCTATCCCAACAAGGTCTGACCTTCAGCCTCACTCCAAATCAAAGGCTTAGCAACCATGTACACAACTGTAAAATAGCCTATTGATTCAACCCATGTTTCCCTTTTGCAATTAACCATAAACCATGCACTCAAAACAAAATTATTGATAATACCACGGATATTTAATGCTAACCCTTGGTGCAAACTTTGCTGTTATGATATGGCTTTCACTGTAGTCATGCATTTGTCTGGTATCTGCAAAACATCATATGTACAACATTAGCCACTTAATGAAACACTGCATTGTCCTTCACTTTAAGTTTTGACTGATGATCTCCAAACAAGAATTTAGAGGTAGATATGGAAATTATAATTTCTCCCCTTTTACGGTTTCTGATTCTAATTGTTGATTTTGAGAAAGAAACTGTTGCTTTAGCCAATTCATCTAAAAATCAATAATCTTTTTAGATAAAATTTACTCCTTGGTTCCTTGTTGTTTTACTCCTTGTTGTTAAATACTCTGTCAATTTTCATCCTCCCCAAAAAATTTTTGCTGGGGGGCCTGGTGACGCCTCCTACACCTCTGCTCTGCCACCTATGTGGTTTACAAAAGAAATAATAACATCAGTCCTCGTGCACTGTTGAGTTATAGAAGCACTTGGGATCGTGTTCTTAAAAAGATCACTCGTGTCTCTGTAACTCAACAATGCACACGGCACTTTTTTTTTTTTTATTTCGTTCATAGATCTATTGCTTAGCTTTCTTACCTAAAAGGAGTAAATAGTTCGGATCACTCAGCCTCGGGTACCTTCCTGCCTGAAATACAGTGACATCAAACCTTTACGTCCTAATTATGCCTTATAAAGTAAAGCTTGCTTTTGGAAACAAAGTGCGCCTGTTACTGCTTCGAGACTGAGAAGAATTCACTTTCATACCTGGTTGAGAATATTATAGAACTCTGTGCACTCTAACAAAAGAGTCCCTGTCGACATATTTCTTGTGTCCAAAAAGTATCTTAATGGATATAAAAAGCTATATCACTCGAGAAAACTTCCACAAGCTCCAAGCTCCTCTCTGAAGCCCAACATGAATCCCGCCATGTTTGTTTTCGTTGCCATTGGTTTATACGCTGCTTGCTGTCTCGCTGGCTCAAACTTCCCAACGGATCATTCCCAGACCCCCCTTATCTGCACGGCGTGATCAGGCAATCGTTTTAGTTCACGTTTCTCCGAAACCCGTCGCCTTCCTTTGCTCACGAGCCACGGGCCACGGGCCACGGGCCACGGGCCACGGGCCACGGGCCACGGGCCACGGGCCACGGGCCACGGGCCACGGGCCACGGGCCACGGGCCACGGGCCACGGGCCACGGGCCACGGGCCACGGGCCACGGGCCACGGGCCACGGGCCACGGGCCACGGGCCACGGGCCACGGGCCACGGGCCACGGGCCACGGGCCACGGGCCACGGGCCACGGGCCACGGGCCACGGGCCACGGGCCACGGGCCACGGGCCACGGGCCACGGGCCACCCACGGGCCACGGGCCACGGGCCACGGGCCACGGGCCACGGGCCACGGGCCACGGGCCACGGGCCACGGGCCACGGGCCACGGGCCACGGGCCACGGGCCACGGGCCACGGGCCACGGGCCACGGGCCACGGGCCACGGGCCACGGGCCACGGGCCACGGGCCACGGGCCACGGGCCACGGGCCACGGGCCACGGGCCACGGGCCACGGGCCACGGGCCACGGGCCACGGGCCACGGGCCACGGGCCACGGGCCACGGGCCACGGGCCACGGGCCACGGGCCACGGGCCACGGGCCACGGGCCACGGGCCACGGGCCACGGGCCACGGGCCACGGGCCACGGGCCACGGGCCACGGGCCACGGGCCACGGGCCACGGGCCACGGGCCACGGGCCACGGGCCACGGGCCACGGGCCACGGGCCACCCTTCTACTTTACTTAGTTAACACTGTAGTTTTCTAAGCTTTTTCTAGATTTCCAATCTCTCAACGTAAGGATTATTTTCATATGGCATCTTGTGCTTTCTTAGCTTGTGAGGCTTGAGTTAGCTACCTTTTCTAAGTTTTCACAGCGTGTTACGAACAGTGGTTGACAACGTAATTGTTGTGCTACAGAGGCAAACTAGAAGGCCTCCGTAGAGCTAACTATCAGACGTCAAACGGTTACAAATATTTTTTCATTGTAAATGATCAAAAAGCAGCTCTGAAATTTTGACGGTGGAATCCTTAGAAGGGACTTACATTCGATTATAGAGATTCAGTCAACTGAGGAAGTGGAGCCTAGGATGTTTTTCTCCACAAGTTTAATGACATTTTATTGTTTAATTTCAATCCTTTTGGAAAGGAGGCTCACCTATACATTCAGCTTTAAAAGTTTCCCCGTTTTTAAATTTTCATCAAATTCATTAAAATTGTTGGCTTGTGGATTTATGACTGTTAGGGCAGGTTTCTAGGTAAACTGACTTCGTTCCATGAAGAGTTGTAATAAAGCAACACACTGTAGCACTCGAAAATCATACTCGAAAAATATCACTGGCAGAAGAACAACTTCATTAATCCCAAACACCCACAATACCAGGTGTTACACTGCGACCGAATTCAAGCCCGTAGGTAAAGTTAGTTTGAGAAGTAAGAACATTTTCAAACAATATAGACATTGCTGAGTGAAAAATCAAAAAACAAAAACAATTTGCATTGAATCACTTTATTATTAATTTTCTATGGCTATCAGTATATGAATAGGACTGAATATCAGGTTTAGCAGAGACATTCCTCTAGTTCCAGTTACTTTGCTTTCATGTTCCTCGAACTGATCAAACGACATCTTACCAACAGATACGCCTGTAAAAAATGAAAACAAACAACTGAATGTCAACGCAAGGAATAGAACTAGCTATTTTAAAGACACTTATCTCACCTTCCAAGAGTATAAATGAGGCCGACCGAAAAACTTCCAGGAAACCTGACAAATTTTTGGTAAAAATGCGACGGAATAGCAACTCATCAATGGCGAGCAGAAATATCCCAAGTCAAATAATGCCATGGAAAGTGAAATAAGTTTCTCAGGTTTGGAATATTTAGCTCGTGTTCAGCTCAGAAACTGTGGTGCTGCGTCGGTGGGAGAGTATAGCAGGTAATTTAGTGTTAACAACTGAGTTGAAAACGTAAATTAGCCACCGTAAAGGGTAAAAAAGCTGACAAAAAGTAAGGTTGCTTTGTGCTGTATAAACCATTTATGCAAGTTTTGCAGAGAGGTGAATGTTGGCATGCTTACTACAAGTCAGTAATTTAAAATGGGGTTACGGAACCCGGTTTTTGAAGATAAAGCCAATAGATAAGGGTGTTTAAGTAGAGCAGTGAGATTACTGCTATGGTAACCTCTTATGTCAAAAAATGATAACAACTTCCTAAGAAATAATTGGGACTTCTTTTTTTGATACAAGTTACAAAGGAACATGCGAGAAGGCATGGAAGTATCGATCCGCTTATGTTGACGTTTAGAGAAGCGAAACCATTTCGAGTTACCTTGGGATGTTTTCTGCGCACCTCACTCAGTTCCTCGTGATGAGTTTTTCATTTTGTTTACATCTGACTTTAACACAGAAGCTTTCCTAGATAGCAGCATTAAACTCACCAGGTTTTATCGAGTTCCATGTTACAGCTATTTGGTCAAAATGTAGACATAGTTTGCGCTCTTTACTCCAACTCCGTAATCTCCGTCCGCTTTGCACCCTTTGGGTGATGCACCATGCACCTTGTAATCAGCATTGCCTTTGGTTGTCACACACTTGTATCTCCCACGAACCCCAAAGATCTCCAGTTTTTTGTCCTCAGCTGCTTTCATACAAGCCTCGACCGCACCTTGGATATTGTTCTTGTACTTTTTGAATTTTGCAAATGTGGTTCTCATGGCCTTTTTACTTTTCTTTTTCACCTCCTTAAAACATCCCTGCTTTTCCCATTCTTAATAAAACAAATTGAACATTATCAGCGAGGTTAGAAGAGACACAATTTCCTTGGAGGCCAAGTAATATGTGTTTAGGTGATATAAGTTATGAAGTCCAGTTTCTAACCTTGAAGTATTTAATTTACTTCAGATTTCGGTAGACGAGGTAAAGAATTACTGGGGAGGAAAAAAACCGGTAAAATTTATGAATTCGCATCCAATGTATGTCAGTTATTACAACGACACAATCATTAGATTTTGACTTAAAGTGATGACAAGTGGTAACTATTTCTTCACTGGTCTGTTGAAGTTACCGAACCAATGAATCCTAGCTAACAATTGCTCTTTTTACGGTGCGATAAATTAGGCTCTTCCGTAGAACTGGCTCGGGGTCAGGATAAACTTTTACAGCACATTTAAAAGGTACCAAGCGTCATCTTAAATCTTTTCCCCATGGAACTTCTCACAATATCCTGTTTTTCTGTTTTCCTTCGAAACAAGTATCTTGAAAATGTCTGGCCGACGTTTTCAAGTTTGTCCGAAATAGTTGCTATAAATCATTCTAATCACCACGATGGCTTATTTTTAAAGATTCCATTCTTGTGTCTTTGACGCAGAATTTTTCTTTTTTTGTTTTTTAAAGTTTTTGGTTTACTAAATTTAACTCGTGTACCTAACTTTTATGTATAATAGGGCTACTGTCTTCTCACCGCAATATTTTCCAACGTATCCATCCGTACAGTCGCACGTGTAGCTGTTGATTCCGTCGACACATGTTCCTCCATTAGCACACGGCACCTTCACATCCAAACATTCGTCGATATCTGTAAGATTTCAGTAACCCAATCTGTTAGTATTCTTGATTTCCGTTAACTTTACTCAATTACTGCTGTGCGTGTTTTTCAGATTGCAAAATATTTATGTTTCTTTTAGAATTACGCGAAATGTCGCATCAGTTAGCGAAGGGATCGACGGAGGACATTTAAAAGCTTCCAATGCTTCAGAATGTTATTACAATCATAAAAGATATTTTGAAAGTATAGAGGCGACACTGCGGCAATGCAGCAAGTAAATTTTAAAACCTTTACGTGGGATGCCAAAATGGTAACCTGGAGAATGACGTCGTTGCGCCTTATCTAGACTACATTATGTGGTCTGCAGGCCACGCATCCTTACGTCACAATAACTTTGCAAGGTTCTTCAGAGTTTTGCACTCACAGACTTGCGTGTCACGAGTTAAAAATTAGAAGTTAAAACAGGCATAAGTGGCTGCAGATCTTATCAACTAATAAATATAACGGCACTGGTCTCAAATTTAAGAAATGTTTCTTCCTAGAGGTAAGACTGATTAATCTTTTTTTTCCACAACCAAGGACATTCTTGAATATTAGAAGGGCTCTTTCCGAAGGGCTTTTCTCGCTTTATCTGGGCAAGAGTTTCGCAATGCACCCATTTGATATCTCAAAAGTCTCAAGTTGGAAAATAACTTGAATCAATAGTTCAATCTAGGGGTTGTATGATACGGTCAACAATTTACTCACTGATTTACTTATTTAAATCATTATCACGCATATTCGTAGGTATCTTGCTAATAGAAATTCATCGTTTTTGTAGAACACCTATCAAAAATCTTTACCTTAGTTGTTTTGCAGTTGTATACTATTATTAAAGTATTTATCGTATATTTCAAAATCCCGAGTTGTTATAAAATGGAATTGTTCAATTTCTTCCTGCTCCAATTTCTTTAATTTTTGTTTTCCATAATATTGTAAAGCACCATAAGCTACTGATAATAATCGCTATAGAAAGTTGTTATTATTATCATTATCATTATTGTTATTATTATCATCATCATTATTATTATTACTGAATTTGGTCGAAGATCGACAAGACCTACAGCCAACGGTTTATTTTTCGTCTATAGTTGATAACCAACCTGTTTCGCAATTTTTTCCCGTAAATCCAGGTTTGCATTTGCATTCATAGCTTCCATGTGTGTTCTCGCACTGTCCGCCATTTTGGCATGGGTTTGAGGTCTGGCATTCATCAATATCTGCCCCAAATAAAAAAAACTTTTAAGAAGGGAGAGCGGTGGGAAAAATTTTCTTCCTGGTCATGCGTAGTTTTAGTCACATTTACTGACCGTTATCCCCCCTCAAAGTAAGTTTGCACGTGTCCTAACTTGATATCTTGTTTCCCAGGCCTGCATTTCTTTTTTCTGTCATATATCTACGAATATTTCACATCCTTTTTTTTCTCTTTGCAGTTCTCGAACAGCAAAATTAGAGCTTAAAATTATTTGACCTTTGGTTTAATTGCTTACAACTTGAGAGTTTACTGTTCAGTTCCTTGAAATTAAAAAGGGAAAAGAACAGGCCTTGGTGATTGCAGATACTACCAACTATGCCATATCACGATATTAACTTTAAACTCCAGAAATATTTCTTCCTTGAGATGGCACCAATATTCATGCAATTAATTATAGATTCACGCAATCAACTGATATCTCGAAGGTCACCGGTTTGAATGTCACTCGAATCGATTTTTAAAACTGTACTGTCGCAATTTTCTATGATAAGATCAACACGTTACCCATTAATTCACTGATTTAAAGTACGTAGGCATATGACAAATAATGTAACCCGGCAAAAACCCAGGTAATGTCTATGATCAATAACCCACCTGTTTCGCAATTTCTTCCTGTAAATCCAAGCGTGCATTTGCATTCATAGCTTCCATGTGTGTTTTCGCATAGTCCGCTATTTTTGCATGGATTTGAGGTTTGGCATTCATTGATATCTACCCCAAAGGAAAAAAAACATGTAAAGTTGAAATCATTATGCGCATAAAGACAGTCCAAGAGGAGAGAGGGACGGGGAGAATTTTTGCTCAATCACACATTTCAACGAATAGTCGACTCCCAGGAATCTTCAAGAATGGAGTATGTCTAACAATTCATACTTTTCGCCGAAGGTGAAAATATACTATTGAAAAATACTCGAGTCACAGTCGAAAAGATCATTGAACAATGACTCATTGAGCCTGAGAAGAAAAATTTACCTTGGTATTACGGTTCTGTTGATCATCAGAACAAAATCATTAATTTATATTTTTCTTTGCTTCTAACTAGTCACGCATAAAGGATCAGGGACACGCAGTCTGGTTTATAGATCACATAATGACAGCAAGTCATTTTTCTCGTAGAAACTGCCATCTTTTCTCCTCACCGATACGTACTGAAACTTCGCTTTCCCTTAAGTTTGTTCAAAATGTGGGACTTTACCGCTCAGTTTGAGAGAATTTTTTAAAACAAACCTAGGTTCTTGTTAATTTTATCAGCTGCTGCATATCTCTTTTTATAATCTATCAAATATTTCTCGCTTATATGCGATTGGTCTAAACGCATCCAGTGAGAGAATATGCCCTAGCTAAAACTGAATATCTGACGATGTACCTCAAGTGATATTCCCCAATTTTCAAACCTCACATCAACTACGATAAAAGTGTTCGTTTCAAATTTAATTCAAGATGAGAGCGCGTTTAGCTTTTGTTACCGGAGATGGAACATTTTTGTTTGTTCTTAAAGTGGTACCAGGCAACACTGAAACGTCATCCCACGCGCAGCAAACATTACATTGTTCGTAAACATTTTACCCACGGGTAATAAACTCCATAGCCTCCATTTGGTGAGAACAAATGCTCGTATATGTATCCTTGGATGTTATTTGTTCCTCGAAGCTCAAAGTTTTTCTTGAGCTTCGATCTCGTAAAAACTGTTCACATCCCGGAATAGTTAGCGTCCGCGGACAAATATTCGTGCATGTTTTCGCCCCAAATGGAGGTTTTTCCTTAAACAGCCCTTGCATTCAAAAAACTTGACTTTCGAGAGATCACGCTAATAAATCTTTGCCTCAGCCAGTAAGATTCTTAAATCTTGAACTTTCTCGCTCTGCGTGACGGCTTCACACAACCAACTAATATTACGAAAGTCACAACTAAGTATATCACTTCAATCAATTTTAGGAAGGGTAAAATCCGAGATCAACACAACTTCAAAGTTTAATTCACTGATTTGGATAAAGAAAGCATATAACAAGTACTGTAACTAACAGCGCATATTTCGTCTATGGTTGATAACCAACCTGTTTCGCAGTTTCTTCCTGTAAATCCAGATTTGCATTTGCATTTATAGCTTCCGTATGTGTTCTCGCACTGTCCGCCGTTTTGGCATGGGTTTGAGGTTTGGCATTCATCAATATCTATACCTCATATAAAAAAAAACATGTAAAATTAAAATCATTTTTCACGTAAGGGCGGTTCAGAAGAAGAGAGCAATGGAGGGAATGTCTGCTCGGTCATGCGTAACTTTAGTCATGTACACTGACCGTGTTCACAGTTGGTTCCTTGGAATCCCTCAACACAGGAGCATGTATAGCCATCACCAGATGTGCTGCATGTGGCCCCATTCTGACAGGGTTTTAATTCATCGCAAGCATCAGCTACAAAAAGAAATGACTCATTTCTCTTTTTTTTCTTAAGTAGTGGGTGTTTATGAAAAGAGATTTAAAATAACGTTGAAAGTGAACAAAAGTCCTATAATTGTAGACTATGAAAAAGTTTTAAAGGAATTACCTAAGCCAACCTTTTTCACTGCATTTATCTGCTCTGCAGTTAAAGCCACGTTATAAAGTTGCATAACAGCAATTCTTCCTCGGAAGTACCGCCAATCCCCGTCTTTCACACCCATCCGGACTTCGTTCTGAGTGGAAAGGTGGACTTTTCCAATGCTAGATTGAGCGGTACGTCTTCCATCCACCCACAATCTTGCAATACCAGTATTGTAGTCATATGTAGAACCGACATAACTCCACTGGTTTATTGGCAAAATACCGCCTACCAAATGTGGAGTGAAATGGTAATTTCTGTGAGTGTAGCGAACGAACAGCTGTCCATACACCACCCACAGATGGACACCCCAACTACCGGTTCTCTTATAATTGAAGAGAGGACCATCTTTACCCGTAGGATACACCCAACATAACATGGTTATAGAGTACTGAACATCCAATGCTCCATTATTTGGGAACTCGATGTAACTTCTGGCACTGCCTGCGAACGCGTACGAACTGCCGGTCTTTCCATCAGGGCCATTAGCTAAAGATACGCCAACAGGATTTCCCTGGGGAACTCGACTTTTAATTTCCCTTGTTTGATACTTGCTGTTCAGGGGAAAGACGGCGACAGGATTTGGTACCGTAACTGGTACACTTACAGCTGGAAGGTAAAACATCAGAACAAAAACATTAATTTATTTTTTTTCTTTGCTTCTAACTAGTCACGCATAAAGGATCAGAGACACGCAGTCTGGTTTATAGATCACATAATGACAGCAAGTCATTTTTCTCGTAGAAACTGCCACCTTTTACTCCTCACCGATACGTACTGAAACTTCGCTTTACCTTAACTTTGTTCAAAATGTGGGAATGTACCGCTCAGTTTGAGAGAATTTTTTAAAACAGGCCTAGGCTCTTTAAAATTTCATCAGCTGCTACAAATCACTGTATATAATCTATCAAATATTTCTCGCTTATATGCGATTGGTCTAAACGCATCCAGTGAAAATATGCCCTAGCTAAAACTGAATATCTGACGATGTACCTCAAGTGATATTCCCCAATTTTCAAACCTCACATCAACTACGATAAAAGTGTTCGTTTCAAATTTAATTCAAGATGAGAGCGCGTTTAGCTTTTGTTACCGGAGAAGGAACATTTTTGTTTGTTCATAAAGTGGTACCAGGCAACACTGAAACGTCATCCCACGCGCAGCAAACATTACATTGTTCGTAAACATTTTACCCACGGGCAGCAAACGGTACATTGTTCGTAAACATTTTACCCACGGGCAGCAAACGGTACATTGTTCGTAAACATTTTACCCACGGGCAGCAAACACTACATTGTTCGTAAACATTTTACCCACGGGCAGCAAACGGTACATTGTTCGTAAACATTTTACTCACGGGTAGCAAACACTACATTGTTCGTAAACATTTACCCACGCGTTGCAAAAGTATTGCAGAAGGATAATAAACTCAATAGCCTCCATTTGGTGAGAACAAATGCTCGTATATGTATCCTTGGATGTTATTTGTTCCTCGAAGCTCAAAGTTTTGCTTGAGCTTCGATCTCGTAAAAACTGTTCACATCTCGGAATAGATAATGTCCGCGGACAAATATACGTGCATGTTTTCGCCCCAAATGGAGGTTTTTCCTTAAACAGCCCTTGCATTCAAAAAACGTGACTTTCGAGAGATCACGCTAATAAATCTTTGCCACAGCCAGTAAGATTCTTAAGTCTTGAACTTTCTCGCTTTGCGTAACGGCTTCACACAACCAACTAATATTACGAAAGTCACAACTAAGTATATCACCTCAATCAATTTTATAAAGGGTAAAATCTGAGATCAACACGTTACCTCAGTGTTAATTCACTGATTTGGATAAAGAAAGCATATAACAAGTACTGTAACTAACAGCGCATAATTCGTCTATGGTTGATAACCAACCTGTTTCGCAGTTTCTTCCTGTAAATCCAGATTTGCATTTGCATTTATAGCTTCCATGTGTGTTCTCGCACTGTCCGCCGTTTTGGCATGGGTTTAAGGTTTGGCATTCATCAATATCAATACCTCATATTAAAAAAAAAATGTAAAATTAAAATCATTTTTCACGTAATTGCGGTTCAGAAGAAGAGAGCAGTGGAGGGAATGTCTGCTCGGTCATGCGTAACTTTAGTCATGTTCACTGATCGTGTTCACAGTTGGTTCCTTGGAATCCCTCAACACAGGAGCATGTATAGCCATCACCAGATGTGCTGTATGTGGCCCCATTCTGACAGGGTTTTAATTCATCGCAAGCATCAGCTACAAAAAGAAATGACTCATTTCTCTTTTTTTTCCTAAGTAGTGGGTGTTTATGAAAAGTGATTTAAAATAACGTTGAAAGTGAACAAAACGCTTATAATTGTAGACTATGAAAAAGTTTTAAAGGAATTACCTAAGCCAACCTTTTTCACTGCATTTATCTGCTCTGCAGTTAAAGCCACGTTATAAAGTTGCATAACAGCAATTCTTCCTCGGAAGTACCGCCAATCCCCGTCTTTCACACCCATCCGGACTTCGTTCTGAGTGGAAAGGTGGACTTTTCCAATACTAGATTGAGCGGTGAGTCTTCCATCCACCCACAATCTTGCAATACCAGTATTGTAGTCATATGTAGAACCGACATAACTCCACTGGTTTATTGGCAAAACACCGCCAACCAAATGTGGAGTGAAATGGTAATTTCTGTGAGTGTAGCGAACGAACAGCTGTCCATACACCACCCACAGATGGACACCCCAACTACCGGTTCTCTTATAATTGAAGAGAGGACCATCTTTACCCGTAGGATACACCCAACATAACATGGTTATAGAGTACTGAACATCCAATGCTCCATTATTTGGGAACTCGATGTAACTTCTGGCACTGCCTGCGAACGCGTACGAACTGCCGGTCTTTCCATCAGGGCCATCAGCTAAAGATACGCCAACAGGATTTCCCTGGGGAACTCGACTTTTAATTTCCCTTGTTTGATACTTGCTGTTCAGGGGAAAGACGGCGACAGGATTTGGTACAGTTACTGGTACACTTTCAGCTGAAAGGTAAAACAGTGTGAGTTTTGAATGGATTTGGTAATTGTATGATAAAGAGGTCTCATGGGAAGATGATCTGGTCTGAATGGGGCGAGAGACTTTCTCCGCTGCTCTTGCAAAAGAGAAATCTTGAAGGATACTAACCGTTAATAAGCGTGATCAAAATCTGTAGAGCACTGATTTGAAAGATCACCTTGAACCTCCCCATGTTGTCAAACTTCTGCTGTTGAAATAAGGAAACGATAATTGCAAACTAATTATAAACAGAACTCTGCTGATGCGTCTTGCATTCTATGTTTCTAGATAAAACAGAATTTCTGCAAAGTTCGAGCTTGACCGGCGGGCAATCAAGCCGCTCGACAGTGTATCAAACACATTGTCAACCTTACCTTTTCAAAAGCAGCACGTTTAACTCATGAAAAACAACGATGAAGTGGTAACGCCTAACTTTCCTTTGACGCTTTTACAGCATAGCAATCCATTTCAGCGCATGCGTTGATGGGTCATTAATCAAACTAAAGGCGAACGATACAGATTTTAATTCTATTTCTTACTCATCATTCGACACAGATAAATTTACATAACAATATTCCCGTATTGGGCGTCAATCATCCTATCAAAGAGTGATTAGTCCTTTTTGATCAAACCGTGAACATCGAGATCCAAATATTTTTTTAAGTAAGCACCAATTAAAGATACTGCCAAATAGTAAGAAATACATTTAATGAGCTATTCTCTCAAAAACCAGCTTAAAGAAGGAAATATCACCAAGAGAACACGATAAACCGAATAAAAAGGCAGAACCGTATGGAACCGCGAAACAAGGCAGGTCACAAGGAAAATTGTGACTTGAACATTTCTTTCAAATAATTTATTTTAACTGAACTCCCCTTCACTTAAAGTTTGATCAAAGGACTCATTCCCTTATCAATATTGGGTTTTTAACAAGCTGCTTGACTTTTCTCATCACCAGCACTGACATTGAAGGAAGGAGAATATGTTTAAAAAATTGTGACGAAAACTGCTGCCGATTCCTAATACGAAATGATCATGGTGACTCAGGTGGTTTAGTAATTTGTCTGTTTTCGCCACGATATGAAAGGATAATTATGGAACAGTAAATTCTATTGTAGTATGGGAGTTGGCTGTACGAGATCACAAAGTGATCGCGTGCAAAAACGCCAACTCTCCATACTACTTTCCATATTATGGAAATTATTCAACGAAATTATCATTCCACTATTTCAATTCCGACGCGTGAAAAACCACTATTTCGATTGTCGTATGAAATTTTGGAACAAGCAAGTCCTATTAAAAGATTATCTTATGTACCCAAAGGCTTATCATTTTTGAAAGACGCTTTCAGTGGACTGACAATAGGGACCTTAAGCAGTGAGGACGGCAACGCCAAGGAAGACTTCGATTAAAAAATGAATTTTTGCCTTCAATCAGAATTTCAAAAATGGCTGCATTTGTTCACGGTCTCATATGGCGCCACACCTCAACTTCAGCATAACGTATAAAAGAAACGTTGAGCTCCAGCCGGAAATTAAAATAATTTCCGTCTTGGTCTCGGTTCGCAGGCGACGCAAATTGTGGTGATTTCACGTTGTTGTTTTACAGAGGACGGCTAAGAAATGTACAAAGTTTTAAAACTCACGTGCTGCGCTATGGTTCATACAATTAGATCTTTTGTTTTTCCATGTCCTCGTTGCCGTCGCCGTCGTGGTTTGCTTAAGGTCCCTAATGTCAAAAAGCGACGCCCCAAAAACCGTTGCTGAATATAAAAGAGAATATGAAAAAGACAAAAGATGTGAATATCGAGGAAGTGTGACTGACTGGGCTTTGGAAAAGGGTTACGCTGGAAGAGCGAAATATAGATATCCATTTGGGCGTGCTTTAGATATTCGCAAAGCAATCGGGAGGTTGTACTTTAATGCTTGTAAAAACGGTCATAATTATTCATTGGCTGGCAAATGCAAGCATGTAAAAGGCAAGACGCATCAACGCAACATTAGTGATTAAACACCTTTTTATCTTTGAATTATCCACAGACTGGTTATTTCAACTTATTTAAACGTACTATTTTTCAAACATTTCAAGATTTGTCTATACGTATATGAAAAATACAAAGATATCTATATATATGAATAAGGCTGATTTAAAAAAGCTCAGTAAATCAAAATTGATCAAACTGTTGTTAAAACAGAATGCAGAATGAACTCCCAATCCAAGCATTAAATAAATGGTGAAGCAGAGCGACATAATAATAATGGAAGATAAACCAGTTTCTACAACGGGTGTTTCAGCTCTAAAGATGTGTTGAAGGAGCATAAAACTAACTGTATCACAAAAAGTGGCAAACAAGCAATTGAAATGCCATAAAAAATCAAAAAATATATTGAAATTTAACAATTATAATAAACAATTACCAATACCATTTGTCAACCACTATTTTAATCCCGACGCGTGGGAGACCGCTATTTCAATTCCGACGCATGGGAAACCACTATTTCAATTCGACGCGTGGGAAACCATTATTTCAATTCCGACGCGTGAAAAACCATTACCGTATTTCTTCACCTATATGCCGAGCGATTTTTTCAACATTTGACACAAAAGTTTGGGAAATTTTTTCACAAGAAACGGGGTTCGGCTTATAGCCGAGGGTTTGGGATTCAAAATGTTAATGCGAAATGACCGTAAATTCAGTGACTGCAGCGCTCTTTACATGCTTTAAAATTGTCATGACAACAACGTATTTCTGACCACCAATCAGATTCTTTGCTTCCCACGTATTGAAAGACTATCTCACTCGACTCGGTAAACACTCTTCTCATTTCACACTACAAATGAATTATTTTGTCTCTTTGCTGTGAAAACCACTCCATCGCTTGCTTGTCTAGTTCGGGACACTTGGGAGTGAAACGGCCCATTTTTGCGCGTTTCGCAGACTCCTAGGCTTGCCAGAAAGAATAGTCGCCCGATCTTTTCTCCAGGGTTTTGGAGAAGAGTTTCTTTTGGATAACACGAGTCTGTTGGAAGGTCTCTAACTTTTAGGGTCTCGGCTTATAGCTGAAGAAATACGGTATTTCAATTCTGTCGCGTGGGAAACCACTATTTCCATTCCGACGCGTGATTTCGATTGCCGTATGGAATCAAATGCTTGACTAATTTCCTCGAAAAAGTTTCTGTTGAATTACATCATTGATTTCCTGTTCTTCTGAGAATGTTTCGCAATGGGAAAATGTTGTGAGATCATAGCGCTAGTCTCCTATAGTATTCCGACACTTTTATGTCATGAAATGATTCCCTCAAATGATTTTATAACATAGCTAGTAAATTTGTCTGGTCAAATTCAATTTCGCGAGCGTGCTTCATATTCCTATTGTGCACGCTCATGACGTCAGCAAACATATCCCTCGAGAAAAAAAATTTTCCATCGGGTTGAAAATGTTGTAAAACAATTGGTTCATACGTCAGCTATGCGTTCATCGAGATATGAAGCACGCGGGAAATTTAGAGAGCACTCAAGAAGCCAGAGTTGCCTCGAGCAACTCTTACGCATCTTTCGTGCTCTCCAAACTTCCCACGTGCTTCAGATCTCGATGAACGCACGCTGACGTATGAACCAATTGTTAATTGTTAAACAATTTCATGAAATGATTTCGTTGAAAATTTCCATAATATGGAAAGTAGTATAGAGATCACTTTGTGATCTCGTACAGCCAACTCCCATACTACAATAGAAATTACTGTTCCATAATTATCCTTTCATATCGTGGCGAAAACAGACAAATTACTAAACCACCTGAGTCACCATGATCATTTCGTATTAAGAATCGGCAGCAATTTTTTAAACATATTCTCCTTCTTTCAATGTCAGTGCTGATGATGAGAAAAGTCAAGCAGCTTGTTAAAAACCCAATATTGATAAGGGAATGAGTCCTTTAATCAAACTTCAGGTGAAGGGGAGTTCAGTTAAAATAAATTATTTGAAAGAAATGTTCAAGTCACAATTTTCCTTGTGACCTGCCTTGTTTCGCGGTTCCATACGGTTCTGCCTTTTTATACGGTTTATCGTGTTCTCTTGGTGATATTTCCTTCTTTAAGCTGGTTTTTGAGAGAATAGCTCATTAAATGTATTTCTTACTATTTGGCAGTATCTTTAATTGGTGCTTACTTAAAAAAATATTTGGATCTCGATGTTCACGGTTTGATCAAAAAGTACTAATCACTATTTGATAGGATGATTGACGCCCAATACGGGAACATTGTTATGTAAATTTATCCGTGTCGAATGATGAGTATGAAATAGAATTAAAATCTGTATCGTTCGCCTTTTGTTTGATTAATGACCAATCAATCAATCAATGCTCATATACGAGCATTTGTTCTCGCCAAATGGAGGCTATTGAGTTTATTATCCTTCTGCAATACTTTTGCAACGCGTGGGTAAACTGTTTACGAACAATGTAGTGTTTGCTGCCCGTGGGTAAAATGTTTTCGAACAATGTGGTGTTTGCTGCCCGTGGGTAAAATGTTTACGAACAATGTAGTCTTTGCTTCGCGTGGGATGACTTTTCAGTGTTGCCTGGTACCACTTTATGAGCAAACAAAAATGTTCCTTCTCCGGCAACAAAAGCTAAACGCGCTCTCATCTTGAATTAAATTTTAAACGGACGTTTTTATCATAGTTGATGTGAGGTTTGAAAATTGGGGAATATCACTTGGGGTACATCGTCAGATATTTAGTTTTAGCTAGGGCATATTCGCTCACTGGATGCGTTTAGACCAATCGTGTATAAGCGAAAAATATTTGATAGATTATGAAAAGAGATTTGCAGCAGCTGATAAAAGTAACAAGAAACTAGGTTTGTTTTAAAAAAGTCTCTCAAACTGAGCGGTAAAGTCCCACATTTTTAGAAAACTCAAGGTAAAGCGAAGTTTCAGTACGTATCGGCGAGGAGAAAAGATGGCAGTTTCTACAAGAAAAATGACTCGCTGTCATTATGTGATCTACAAACCAGACTGCGTGTCTCTCTCTCTCCTTCATGCGTGACTAGTTACAAGCAAAGAAAAAAAATCAATGTTTTTGTTCTGATGATCAACAGAACAGTAATACTGATATAAATTTTTTCTTCTTAGGCTCAATGAGTTATTGTTCAATGATCTTCTCGACTGTGACTCGAGTATTGTTCAATAGTATATTTTCACCTTCGGCGAACAGTATGAATTGTTAGACATACTCCGTTCTTGA